AAACCCTTGATAATTGATAAATGATTATTTTTTCATATCTTACACTGTCCGACGTCTCCCTTCACCCACTTTTCTGTTGTCCATCCCCCAGGGAGGAGGTTATATGTAGATCCTTGCAATCGGTTTCCCCTTTCCACCCCACCCTTCCGCCACCATGGACTGATTTTTATAGAGATTCCTTAATCACATTGAAAAAAACCTTTTTATTGTTAATTGGGTAGTTTACAGAGCAGATCAGTTCTTCATTCTTCAGGATTTTGTTTCATCTCATTGGTTGCTATCCCCACTGTAACACATATCCATTTCCTCCCCATGGCGCCTGTTTCCATTTCTACTTTCCCAGCTCTCCTCCTGAAACTTGCCCTTGGGTAAGTGTCCTTTTCATCTCAGGTGATTAATTATTCTAAGGGTTGCATACCTCATTAGTGTTATTGTTTCCTGATATTCCTGAGTCGATTGACTGCATGGTGGACGTTTGTTTGGGTTTATTGTTGTCAGCACGTTCTTTTTCAGATCTGAAGGGTGACTAAGGGACATAGTTTTGGGGTTCCACCATTATCTATCTGACCAGTAAGCTTAGTCTTTATAATGTTTATGATTTTGAGTTTTGTTCCACATTTTTATCATGCTTTATCCAGGATCTTCTAATGGGATCCCTTTCCAAGCAGTTGGCAGTGGTAGTCAAGTACCACATTGTTCTTGTCTCTGGGTTGTGCACACTTATGTTCACATTGGCCATTAGTCCCTTTGACTAATTGTTTCCATGCACCTTTGATAGTCATCACTTTTCTTTCCTGTCAGGATGGCACCAAGAATGGCACCTTAGATGGCTGCTCATGAGTTTATAAGACTCATCTCAACCCACCAAAGTAGGATGTAGAATGTTGTCTTTGTAGATTACGTATACCAATTGACCCATTGTTCTCTGAGACTAGGATCCTGAGCCCCCAGGCCCAGTGATTCACTCCCTTAAGGTTGTCAATGTGTAATGAGCTTCATAACGTTATGCACTCTTATGTTCTACCACATTTATGGATATCTTTGGAATGAAGATAAATATATATGTATAAATATTGTTATACAAAAACGGAATTGTGCTGGGCCAAGTGGAGCTTTCATAGTATGCACCACCCCCCTCCCCTCCCCCTAGGACGCATTCAGCAATTCACTCTGAGTTAGTGCACCCAGTGGTGTCACCTGGGAAGGTTCTCTCTAGTCACAGTGAATGTTTTCATAAAAGCAGTTTCACTCAAACCTCATTTTTTGTGATGGCCGGTTTAAGAGGACACTATATGGCTGTGAAATTTTGTTTCCTGCTCTGGTAAAATGCCATAGAAACTGTTGTGATGTTGAACGCAGCTTACAAGGACAATACTATGGGAAAATTCAAGTGTATGAGTGATTTTTTCATTTCAAAAAAGGCGAAATGCCAATTTATGACAAACCTCATTCTGATGTCCGTTAACTTTCCGAACGGATGAAAATGTCCACTTGTAGCACATTTGGAGTTTGTTCCACCAGGTCAGACTGTTAATCAAGCTTTCTATTTAGAGCAGTGGTTCTCAACCTGTGGGTCCCTCTGGGGGTCAAATGACCCTTTCACAGGGGTCACCCGATTCGTAACAGTAGCAAAATTACAGTATGAAGTAGCAACAAAAATAATTTTATGGTTGGGAGGGATGACCACAACATGAGGAGCTGTATTAAAGGGTCATGGCATTAGGAAGGTTGAGAACCACTGATTTAGAGGTTCTGAAAAGATTGTGTAACAGTGTGCAACCAAAAAGGCCTGATTTGTGGCTGATCGGGAACTGGTTTTGCCCCATGACAATGCACCTGCTCACGCAGCCATCTCAGTGTGCCAGTTTTTGGCAAAAAAACAGTATGCCTCTCCTGCCCCACGCCCCTTACTCACCGGACCTCACTCTATTAGATTTCTTTTTGTTTCTGTGAATGAAGAGGGATATGAAAGGACAGCAATTCATGAAGTAGAAGAGGTGAAGAAAAAAAACGAGGGAGGTGCTGTCATGCAAACAGATTAGTTTGGAAAATGTTTCCAAGAATGGAGTCACAGATTTGACAAATGTATTAAGTGTAATGGAGAGTACTTTGAAGGTGATAAGGTTGTTTTGTTAAAAAAAATTAAATACATAGCTTTCGGGAAACAAATTCCATTTGGGGAGTTTCCCCTCACATTCTTGAGTATACTCCCACTGTACTTCCTACACTTCCACCCTGCATCTTTCCATCACCTCATAGGTCATCTTTGTCGTACGACTGTGTTCATAGCAGTATTTACCTCTGCTGCCTTTTACTGTTGCTCTCCTCCCAGTATCCGGCTTCATTTTCTACAATTTCCCTTTTTTGTGTATGTTGACTTCCCCTTCACCCAAGTTAACACATCTAGTCAGGAACTTCCCCTCCCTCTCTCCCTTGCAACCATCAAAGAATGTTTTTTAGCTTAAAAACATTTTAAAAAACTTTTTATAGTAGAAGTCTTATACAGTATTTGTCCTTTTGTGATTGGCTCATTTCCCAATATAATGCTTTCCAGGTTCGTCCATATTATGAGGTGTTTCACAGATTCATCATTATTTTTCACATTGCATAGTATTCTCTTGTGTATGATAAGATAATTTATCCATCCTTCCACTGATGGGCATTTAGATTATTTCCATCTCTTAGCTGTGACAAACAATGCTGCAGTGAACACGAGTGTGTACCTATTTATATACCAGTCGATGAATTGCTGGATCACATGATTTTTCTAACTTTTTAAAGGAAGCACCATACCATTTTCTACAGCAATGCTATGATTTTGCAATCCCACCAGCAGTAAATGAAGGTTGTGAAGAAAACCCTTTGCCAGCAGGTTGTTGTTTTTCAATGTTGCTGTTAATGCAGGGTTGAGATGGCATCTCATTGTCTGATTTGGACCTCTCAAATGACTCATTCTTACAAGTTTCTTTTCATTGATGTATTGGCTGCCTTTTGGGTGAAATGTCTATTTATGCCCATTTTTAGATTGTGTTGTCTTTTTCTTGTTGAGGTACTGAAGTTTTCTATAGATGTTAGAGCTTAGTCCCTTGTCTGGTATGCCCCCAGTCTGTGGGTTCTCTGTTTTACATTTTGTGAAATCTTTTGCTGTACCGCAGTTCTGCTTTTTAGGAGGTCCCAGTCAACTATTTTATCTTCTGTTGTCTTTTCAGTTATGTTTAATAGTGTACTTATGCCGTGTATTAGGGCCCCTCAGTTTGTCCCTGGAGTCCTGGTGGTGTAGTGGTGATGCATTGGGCTGTGATCCATTTGGTTGGCAGTTCAAAACCACCGGCAGCTCCTCAGGAGAGACTGGGCTTTCTAGTCAAAGAACAGTTACAGTCTGGAAACCCCACTGAGTCACTGAGTCAGCATTGATTTGATGGCAGCAAGTTTGGGTTTTGATTTTGAAGTTTGTCCCTACTTTTTCATTGATCATCTTTTATAGTTCTAGGTTTTACAAATAGGGTTTTTATCCTACTTGAGTTTGTTTAGTCTAAGGTGTGAGATATAGGCCTTGATCACATCCTGTCTTCTGCCTTCTTGGGATAGAAATCTCATCTTCAGAGTACACTGGTTTTCAGGTTTTTCTGATCATGCACAAAGGAGCAACTCATCCTTGGGCAAGATCTATTGTTGTTGGATTGCATGTTTCCCACAGACATTTACATACACAGCATGAGACATGGCCCGGGGCTCTCCTGCTTTCTTAAGCTACCCTTAGCCCTGTTCTCTGATTCGATTTAGCTGTCCTAGCCAAGCTCACTGAGAATGACCAGCTAGCACAGTTACATCTAAAAAGGATGGTAGGATGGAGGCTTGGGATGTGGAGCCCAGAGGTGGTCAGTGCACAAAATCTTTAATTCTAGAGAAACCTGCATTAGCTTTCCACTTGCACCCCTTTGAGGGGAGGGTGCCCATCAGCATTGACATGCACAGGCATTCACTCCCCTCTGGTTCTAACACTGGCCTCAGAGCTGCCCGTGAGTGGAAAAGATGGATGAAATATGAATATTCATGGAGTGAACTACCTGATGGGGACAGCTGGTCTCTGGGGGCAAGGAGGTCCTGCTATTCCTTCCCGGGGTGGTAGGGCCAGTGGTCTTAGTCCTATCTGACACACATCTGGTTTAATCAGTCATTTTTGACATCTAGTTTAAGTCATTATTAAGACTCAAAATAGGACGCCTTGTCCCAATTTTATCCCCTTCTAATTTCTTAGTTTTCTCAAATTCAAATTCCAAAGATTAAGTATTTTGAAAAGACTTGTGACTATAAGGACCAAAAAGGAGGCAGGCCTGCCACTTGGATGAGTGATTGGAACCATAGTCTGGTCCTCTCATTGTATTACAACCCGAGAAGGTACTACAGAACCCTCCCTGTAGCCTCTGCAGCACCCTTTTCATCATTCATGAGGTGCATGTACAGGAAGGGAGGCTGCTGAGAATGCTGCAGGGGTCCTCCCCCTCTCTGGTCGTTCTCGGGGAGCTTAGCTAGAGCAGAGAAGACAGAAGTGGACAAGGAGCTCAAGTACAGTGTCAAACCATCACTTTGTAGATGTAGAACCCATAAGCCTCAAATGTGTGGGGCCAGCACTATCTTTACTGCCATGGTCTCTGGGGAGCAAGCCCTTCAAACAAGCTGCTAGGCCCTGGACTGGCTCCCTAGCTGCCTCTGGCTCTACCACTGTGCTTAATGTCCTGGGCCTTCGTCTCCAAGCAAACACCCAGAACCATGTACGACTAATGACAGACTCCAAACCCAACAAAACATAAATATCTTACAACATTTTCACATGGATCTTAAAAGAATGGAATATATGTTAAAAATCACTATCGATTTTAAGCATACTTTATAAATAGGAAAGGAAAAGAAACATGCATAGTCTAAACACAATGCTAATAACAGCATTTTTCATAGAACCCCACTGTTAATGGCAAGTAAACATATTCAAGGACAGCCTCTTTTGTGTGTTGCACACAGTTTAATAATCTAAGAAATGAGCTGGGACATTACCATTCTATACAGTGATCGAATCTTCTTGAATTTTACTGTCATTGTTGCATGAGTTACATAAATCATTCTGCTGTAGAGGATCTCTGGCGAAGCGAAGCTAGGGACTGAAATGTGGTGACTGGGGCACAGGGTTTGAAAGCATATCTGTTGCCAGCGGGTGTGGCCACCTGCTGGCTGGGGAGGTGAGAGGCATGTGGCTGTCCTGAAAGCATGAGCTGCTGCGGTCTCATGGAGCTTGGCTGGCCAGGGAACTGCTGGATGTTGGGTGTGCTGTCTGCACCCAGCCCAAGCTGCCCCAGTTGGCCAATCTGGACCACCATTTGGTCCGTGGAGCTTCCCTGCATGGGGAGATGTTGTGGCATTTGCTGCGATGGTATGGCCAGGGGGTAGCTGAGGTTGTTGGAACTGGCTGTGTCCAGGCATGCCGGAGCTACCTTGCTGCTACTGCGGTAGCAGCTGCCTCCTCAGCCTCTCTCTCTACTATGGACTCATGCTTGCCATCAGGGTAGTGCCCATGTTCATGATGTTCAGTGCCTGGCCCTGGGGGTTCAGGCCTCCAGCTGGCGGGCACTCAGGTTCTGCAGGCCTGGCTGTGAGTGCGTGCTGGGCTGCAGGCTGGGATGTGTTGCTTGATGAAGGTGGCCACGAGCTGCAGGTTTGGCTTGAGGATGTTCAGTACGAGCTGCTGAACAGCTGCTGCTGTTGTGGGGTGCTTGGTGACTTTAGGGTCTACAGCAGGTAGCGCTGGGCACTGGACAAGATGCTCGGGCACAGCTGGGCACACTGGGCAGCTGCTACATGTTGGGCATGATGGGTCCATTGCTCTGCTAGGGAGTCAGCTTAACCACAGGGACTGTCTGGCTCAATGTGGTCATCATGCCTATGCATCCCAGAAACGGGCCACTATTGGTACAGATGCGGTAGAAGTGATGCTTCTGCTGTTAAGCCTTGTGCTGAGCGGCTCCACTGCTGCTGCTGTGGAGCTACATGGATAATTAGGGGGTAAGAGTGGTGTCTGGGAGGTGGGCTGTGGTATCTGGGGTGTGCTGGGGTGCTTTTTGGCGCATAAGCCAGGCCTGCTGCAGGTGGTGCTGGATCTGCTGCTGGCGGAGCTTGTGTTTGATGTTGAGGCAGAAGGGCACAGAGCACTTGTTCTCTTGGCAGTGTTTGGCGTGGTAGCAGCAGAGGGCGATGAATTGCTTGCAGACGGGGCAGCCGCCGTTGGTCTTCCGCTTACAGCCCTTGATGTGCTGCACCACCCGCTTCATCTTCTGGCAGGACGGCAGTGAGCAGCTGGCACTGCGGCACTCACAGGCGTGCATCACTGACTGGACGCAGCGTTGGATGCTCAGGCGCCGTGACTCTTGGGGGTTCTTGGACGTCGGCTTGCCCGGGTTGCTACCCTCACTGTCCATCTTGTGGCAGTGCCTTCCAGGTGTTGTCCCAGTTGATGCACAGGTCTCAGTCCTTCAAATGAGAAGGGAAGGCTAAGTATCAGCATGGGGTCTGCAAGGTGGCAACTTTGCCCCTAAGCCCCACGCCAGGCCCCCAACACTTCAAAGCAATTCAACTTTTTGTGACCTTAGGCTAAAGCTTTTCTCCATCTAGGGAAACCCTCATTTCTTATTTGGAAGCCTATAAATACGCAAGAATCATAAGAAAAAACAAACAAACTGGATAGTGACATGCAGCTGCCTGTAGTCAAAAGTGTACCCAATAGGTTCTGGGCTTTTCTCTGAATTAAGTGCTTGTCTCACTGGTCAACAGCTTGTGTAAACGAGCCTTTTATGTCTGTTTGCACTATGGACTGTACTTCACCTCTCCTCATGTCAGTGGGGTGCCCCGCCGTGGTACGGGCCAGGCAGGAGCCCGTTGTGTACATTATTGCATTTAGTCCATGTCCTCCCACAGGGAGGGGCTGTTTCGCAGAGACTTTGGAACCATCTGTTTGGGATTCATCCTTGGTTCCGCCAGTCACTAGCTGGGTTCCTAGGCAAATGACTCCTGTGCTTCAGTGTTCTCCTCTGTGACACAGAGATCTACCCACGGAGAGACTGTGCGAAGCAAATGACCTATTACATCCACCATGCTGAAAATAGTACAGGTCCAGAAAGCAATTAATATGGTAATTCTCATTGTTATTATTCATAGCTTACTGATGAGGAGGCCAATGGCCAGAGATGGCTGCATGGGGAAGTAAGTGAGAGGGCCGCCTTCGAGGTTGTGCTGGATAGTTTGCCCAGGGCCACATTAGGTGACACCATCACCTTCTGCTCCCAAGGCCCTTCCCTACTTTTCCCTAGCTGGCAAACACCCAGAATTGGATACAATTTTAAAAGCTGGCCAGGACCCTGAAGCTTGTTAGTGAAAACATTTTAAAGTAATTTACTTAAAGGTATTGAAACATAAAACAACTTATTTAAAGTTTTTCCCTGAACAACCAAATAATGATAGAAACAATTCCTGAACTCCCCTCTCCTTCCCTGATGATGTTCAGCACCATGCTCTTGTAAGGTGGGGCAGGTGTATTCATGACCTCAAAATGCACTGTGGGGAGAAGCGGAGCTCACCCTTATTCATTCATGTAATACATGACAGACCAAAGTCAAGCCCAACTTGCTATTTATCCCAATACTCCTACTAATTCTCAACACATGGGCTTGTGTTCATGTGATGGTTAAACTAAGTTGTGCAAAGTGTATTTTTCTGACATACTGAAACTAAACTCCTTACAACTGCACAACATGAGAATTTCAGGGAAGACTGCAGTTGTCAAGGATTTCATTCACAATCAATGCCCACTGAGGCAGTATCAAGAAGTCAAAAGATGTATCACACTGGGCAAATCTGCTGCAAAAGAGCTCTTTAAAGGGTTGAAGAGCACAATATCACTGAGGACTAATGTGCCAGACATCTGGCCCAAGCCATGGTATTTTCAATCGCCTCTTAGTGTATGAGAAAATTGTACGGTGACAAAGGAACATTGCAGAAGAATCGATGCATTGGGATTATGGTGCTGGTGAAGAATACGGAAAGTAACGTGGACTGCAACAAATCTGTCTCCAAGGAAGTACAGCTGGAACACTCCTTAGAAGCTAGGATGGCAAGACTCCACCTCGTGTACTTTGACATGTTATCAGGAAAGACCCGTCTCTGGGAAAGGACAGTTAGGTTGACAGAGTCTGGGCAAGGGGAAGTGGTTGATGATGGAAAGAATTTCTAGCAAAAAAGAGATGAAGGTGCATTTCCTTTATCACTTCATCTTGCTAACACAAACCCCCAAATGAAACTCACTGCCAGTGAGGCTATGCCAACTCTTAGCAACCTTATAGGACAGGGTAGAACTGCCCCATGAGTTTCCAAGACTGTGACTGTTTATGGGAACAGAAAGCCTTGTCTTTCTCACCTCTTTGGAGCAGCTGACCCTTTGGATTGCAGCCTAATGTGTAACCACTATACCACCAGGCTCCTTGCTAACACAAGAGAAGGTGGAAAGCACAGAAGACACATTTTCTTCAACAGAAGAGAGATGGTGAAAGGATGTGGGAAGAGAATGGCAAGATATTCACCACTACCCACCCCCACCCCCCATGCAATGGTTAAATTATCCCTTGGCTTTGGACTTGGTGACAAAGGCAGACCCAGAACTCTGGGGTACACATTCATCGCCAGTTCACCTGTAAAGAAAGAGCAGGTATGCTAAGGAAAAGTCAGCAAACGGCAGGATCAAAACTTTCGTTTCTGATCGATCACAAGGATCAACATATACCCCCTCCCAGGGAGATGAACAACAGAAAAGTGGGTGAAGGGTGACAGAGGACGATGTAAAATATGAAAATAATAATCTATAACTTATCAAGGGTTCATGAGGGAGGGAGGGGGCAAATGATGAGCTGATATCAAGGGCTCAAGTAGAAAGAAAATGCTTTTAAAATGATGATGGCAATATATGTACAAATGTGCTTGACAAAATGGATGAATGTGTGGGTTGTGATAAGAGATGTAAGAGCCCCCAATAAAAGTATTTAATAACAAACAAACAAGTTTCCATCTGAGGGAGCTCTAAGATTAGCTGAGGGTCCTTCAGTGTTACTGAGTATCCCTTTAATAAACTCACTTGTAACAATTCAAACCTTTTCTCTGACTCTGGCCTGAACATTGTCCCTTGTCTAAATACTTTCTTGCAGTGGGACAAGAGGAGAGGCTTGAAACCTTGAGCCTCCTCCTGGTAACATCCTTCTTGGCAAAGAAACACCAAATCAAAGTTGCTGTCAACAAGTTGTTTCTGACTCAGCAACCCAAGAGACAGGGTAGAACTGCCCCTGTGGGTTTTCAAGACGCTATTTACAGGAATAGAAAGCTTCCTTTTTCTTCCTTGATTTCCAATGGCTGACCTACCTTGAGATTAACAGCCCAGTGTGTAACCACTCAGGTACCAGGGCTCCTCAGTAAAGTAGACCGGCAATAAAAAATAGAGGAAGACCATGGCCACCGTGGCTGCCAGAATGGGTTTGTATATAACAACTGTGGGTAGGGCTCAGGACCTGGCAGTATTTCATTCTGGTGCGCACATATCCATGAGTTGGAAGCAACTCCAAGGCACGAGAAGAAGAGTGATTCTTAGATTTTAATTTGTCAAAAATTACCTGTTGGTTCTAGCTCCATTTTCTCCAAACTTCTAACGCTTTGGAAACTTTATAGATGTACTAAGACACCACCCTAACAGTCTCGTTTGCGATATAGGCAAAGGAACTGGAAGAGAGAAGACCTCAGAGATAAAGGGCACACGTCTGGCAAAAGACCTTTCTCATTTTTAAAGGTAATTCTTTGAAAAGTCTGACCAATGCATTTGTTTAGTGAAAGCCACTGGGCTCGGTGGCCGCAGCCCACTTCCACACAGCAGCTGGGCCTGGGTGGGACACTCCCTAGTCTGATGGGGAAAAACGTCGCAGCTCAAGGGGCATCAGCCCTCCCCAGTCCAGCCCCGCATCCTGGAGGAGAAACTGAGGACCGAGCCGCGCGGTGCTGGACCTGGGTCCTGCAGGTGGGGGGCAAAGCCGGCTTCGGCCACGGCTTAGTCAGTGAACTTGGCCTCCTCGTTTCTTTTCCCACAAAGGGGTTACCCCCGGGGGAGGGGGCGCTCATCACTTTGACCTTGCCCGGGGACCACCTCGGGTAAGTGGGCGCGTACTAACCTGGTCACCGCTCTCCAGCGCGTCGAAGTAAGCGTCGACCTTCCCTGAGCCTCGCCCTCCGAAACCAGGACATCCGGGTTCGGACTGCACTTGCGCGCGCAGCCGCTCCCGGCCCCGCCCCCCGCGCCGCGTCCGAGCTGCGCTTCGCCTTGGGAATGCGCAGGCGCGTGAAGTCCCAGGGGCGGCCGGCGGCCGAACTTTAGGGTGGGGAAGGAGCGCGCTCTGGGGACGGGGTGAGGCTGGCGCCCTTCGCGCCTTCCTCAAGCAGGACTTTGTCCCCGAGCCCCGGCGGAGCGGAGTGTGAGCGTTGTTGGTTCCAGGGCTGGGGCTTCCCCGCTCAGCTGGGCGCAGGAGCCCCAAGTTCGGCACGCTGCTCCCCGCCACAGCGTCTCTCGTCCCAGGCCACTGCACTGTGGGGCGTCGAGGACATGCCCGAGACGAGCCTGCTGGGTTGGAGCCGGGAACGAACTTCTCTCAGACGGGCACTGACGACTTCTGAGGGGCTCCGAGGAGGCCAGAAGCCGGCGGCCACTCTTTGGGCCAAGACTCCTCTGCTCCTCGACGACCCCGGCCCCCCGCGGAGCGCATGGAAGACCCGACGGGCTCCGGAAACTGATTTCAGATACTGGAAAGGGTTGGAACTCGCTCTCAGGATGCCTGGCGCGCGGCAGGATTCAGGAGGCGTTTAAGGCTGGATGTAAAGAACATCAGAGGCACATTGGTGGTTGCAGTCACGACTTTGTGGTTTTCCACGGAAGCCGGGTTTTAAGGAGCCCGGCCAAGTACTGCAGCTCCCCCCCTTTGTCATTCAAACCAGAACTCAGCCCAGCCTGCCCGCTTGGGTCCCTTACAATCTTTGGGGTGGTGGGAGATAGGGAAGCACCTTGTGGTGGTTAGATGTTGTCTGTCTCAGTGACCCTAGGTACAACCGGTCCTCTGCCATCTTCACAGTTGTTGCCATATTTGAGCCTCTTGTAGCCCCATGTCAAGCCATCTGGAAGAGCTTCTTCTGTTTTGCTCACCCTCTACCAAGCATGATGTCCTTCCCCAGAGACTGGCCCTCCTGATGACATGTCCAAAATGTCTGAGATGAATCTCCCCATCCTACTTCTTGAAGCATTCTGGTTGTACTTCTAAGAAAGATGTATTCGGAAATCTAGGGAATCCAGGGCAGATGAGCCCTTCAGGACCAGTGGTGTGAGTGGCGGTACTGGGAGGGTAGAGGGAGAGTGGGTAGGAAAGAGGGAACTGATTACAAGGAACTGTGTGTGACCTCCTCCCTGGGGTACAGACAACCGAAAAGTGGGTGAAGGGAGACGTCGGACAGGGCAAGATATGACAAAATAATAATTTATAAACTATCAAGGGTTCATGAGGGTGGGGGGGGCAGGGAGGGGGGGGTAAAATGAGGACCTAATATCGGGGGCTTGGGTGGAGAGGAAATGTTTTGAGAATGATGAGGGCAATGAATGTACAAATGTGCTTTACATAGTTGATGTATGTATGGATTGTGATGAGAGTTGTGTGAGCCCCTAATAAAATGACTTAAAAAAAAAAGAGAAAGATGTATTCGTTCTTTTGGCAATCCATTGTGGACTTCAACATCATAAATCAATGTATCGATTTTTTTTTGGTTCTTCCTTATTCTTTGCCTACCAATTGCATGCATTGAAGTGATTGAAAATAACTTGGTTTGGGTCAGATGAACTCAGTCCTCAAAATGATATAGTTGACATCTTTTAAAACAAAAGAGATCTTTTGTAGCAGATATACCTGGCCCAATACATCTTATCTGACTGTTGCTTCCACGTGTATTGACTGTGCATCTAAGTGAAGTGAAATCCTTAACTTCTTTTCTCCATTTATCATCACTGATTCCAGTCGTGAGGATTTTTGTTTTCTTATGTTGAGGTATAATCCTTATTATGGTTGTAGTCTTTGATCTTCATCAGTAAGTGCTTCAAATCATCTTCATTTTAAGTAACCAAGGCTGTGTTGTGTATATGGCAGACTTTTAATAAGTCTTCCTCCAATTCTGGTGCATGTTTTCCTTCATATCATTTAGCTGCTTGGGTTATTCGCCCAGCATACAGATGAAAATAAGTGTGGTCAAGGGGTACAATCCTGATACATACCTTTCATGATTTTGCTCCCTTGTTCTGTTTGAACAACCGCCTCTTGACCTATGTACACTTTCCTCATGAGCACAATTATGTGTTCTGGACTTCCAATTCTTCCTTAATGTTGTGCATAAATTGTTATGATCTACACCACCAGTTCTCAACCTGTGGGTCTCAACCTCTTTTGGGGTCGAAGACCGTTTCACAGGGGTCACCCGATTCATACCAGTAGCAAAATTACAGTTATGAAGTAGCTATGCAAAGCATTTTATGGTTGGGAGTCACCACGACATGAGGAATTGTATTACAGGGTCATGGCATGAGGAAGGTTGAGAACCACTGTCTTACGGGGTCTCTGTGAGTCAGAATTGACTCGAGAGCAATGAGATTGGTTTTTGTAGATTGTGGCTTTTTTGATGTATGATGTCTTTGAAGTCATCTCACAACTTGTCTTTTCTCCGACCCTTAGTTTTCATTGAGTCAAATCTATTCTTGAGCTAGTCTGTAAATTCAGATGTGGTAAACTCAAGGTTGTACTTTGATTCTTGTACACTTGTTTTCAGCTTTAACTCGAATTTGCATAGGGGCAATTGATGGTCTTTTCCATCGTCAGCTACTGACCCTTACTGGCTTTTCCATGTCTTTTCCACAGATGTAGTGAGTTTGGTCCTTGTGTATTCCATCTGGCAAGGTCCGTGTGTCGTCATCATTTATGTTGTTGAAAAAAGGTTTTGTAATGAAGAAGTCGTTGACTTTGCAAGATTTTATCATCCCTGTTACTGCTATTGCCCAGGGTATGTTTTTCAACCACCCATCTCTTCCATTTGTTTCCAACTTTTTCATTCCAGTCACCAGTAATTATCAATTCATTTTAATCACATTTTATCAATTTCAGACTGAAGAAGGTGGTAGAAATTGTAGCTGTAGGTATTGATGCATTGCAAAGTAAAAAATATAGAAGACTACAAATGCCGGTGAGGCTGTAGAGACACTGCAACCCTTTTTGTACTAGTGGTGCAGCCACCGTGGCCAATAGTACAGCCCTTAGAAAGTTGGAAATAGAGATACCATGTGATCCATCAATCTCACTACTTCCTAGGGAAATAAAAGCCATGACAGGAATAGATATATGCACAACTATATTCATTACATACTATTCACAATAGCAAAAATATAGCCACAACCTAAATGTGCATCAATGGAAGAGTGGATAAATAAACTATGCTACATACACAGAGGGAAGCACTATGCAAGTTAGTGAATAATGATTAATTTGCAAAACACCTCATTGCATAGATGATCCTTGTGATATTATGCTGAGTAAAAAAATTCAACAAAAGGACAAATATTGTATGATACAAGTATTATAAAAAGTCAACAAAATGTTTTTTCCCCCTTCCATTTTATTGGGAACTCTTTCAGAT